AGGCAACTGTCAGAAAATGACTGTGTCATGGTTCAGTCACAAACTGAATGAAAAAGACACAGTGGCGAGCCATGCATGACCTCACCCTGCCTGTCTTCCTTCTCCTCCTGCTGCTGCTACTTGATGAATGGAACCAAAGCCCAAGCCAGAGACCATGGGGCTCTGGGGACTTCCTTCAGGGAGCCACGGGCCAACCCCTAAAGGAGCGTGCAGGCCGTGGAAGCTGCTGCATCTAGGCGAGCGTGGCGCGAACCCTTTAAGCCCTGCTGCCCAGGAGTTGGCCCAGTTCAGGCGGCCCTGACAACCGCATGCCTTAGCAGAGGGAGCTCTGGCTGCTCTTGTCTCTCCTCATCTCCGTTTCCCTACACAGTAAAGAAAATCATATAAACTACTATTTCCCCTGACTACCCCACTTCCTGTGACTTTTGGCTCTTTGGGGTTTTGCATGGTGTACCAGAAATAGCATTCTTGCTTTGACTTCTAGTGAAGCTGGCTGCAAGAACCCGATCTGCCCGTCCTCAGCTCTGTGGCATTACACAAGCATCTTCCTCTCTCTGAGGCTCTCTCCTTTTCTGAAAGGCCAGATGGGGAAGCCTTACCATGCAGACCTGCTGTCTGGGCTAGAGACGATGCTGGCACAGTAGCCCACGTGTAGCCTCAGACAATGAAGCGTCAGTTACTGGTGCCCACTCAATGCTTTCTTCTTTCTCTCATCTTGTCGTCTTTCATTTTCTCCCTTTATTACCTATTTTGTATAGTACTGATGGGGCTCAGAAAGCAGTTCTCCAAAATGGAGGTCTTGGAAGCAAAAGTGCTTCTCTGACCTCCAGTCCCCCTGCCACTCAGTCCCACTCTCCGCCGAGGCCAGCCATAGAAACTAGAACCCCTCTTCCCCAAAGTGGATCATAAAAGCCAGAACCCCTTTTCCCCAAATCCAGCCATAAAACCTAAAATTATTCAATGCAAAATTGGCCATGAAGAAATTATCTGACCTATCTCGTTTGACTATAGGCCATAAGACTCCCATTCCAGGAAGGTCCCTGTCCCTCACCCAGGAGGAAGAAAAGGGGCTCAGAGAGGTCAGAAAGAAGCTAGACAGACAGGCCTTGCTGGGTTTCCTCACTCTGTTAGCATTAGATCATACCCTTTTGTTCAATCATATTTCTACGTGGCTGTCCATACTTTGTTGGACCTAGGCATAAAAATGGACAATTTCCAGGGCCAGGCCTGGTGACTCATGCCTATAATTTCAGCACTTTTTGAGGCTGAAGCAGGAGGATCACTTGAGCCTAGGAGTTTGAGACCAGCCTGAGCAACATAGTGCAACCCTGTCTCTACAAAAAATAAAAACATCAGCCAGGAGTAGTGGCACATGCCTGTAGTCCCACCTACTCAGGAGACTGAAACAGTAGGATCACTTGAGCCCAGGAGTTTGAGGTTGCAGTGAGCTATGATAGTGACATTGCACTCTAGCCCAGGAGATGGAGTGAGACTCAATCTCAAAAAAAAAAAAAAGGGACAATTTCCCCTGTATCTTTGGGTCTTCATTCTGAAGGCTCCTACGTACACACACTAAAAAATTTGTATGTCTTTTCTCCTACCTAGGGGGCCAGGGGCCTTGCTCTTTACAGTTTGGAGAAGAATCTGTAGCAAGGAGGCATCCTCCGCTTTCTCTTCTTATTGATTAAGTCTGCCTGCAGCCACAATTTGCAATACTTTACAGCTCCTACTAACCCTGGCCTCTAGTTAGTAGTAGCCAATAAGCTATAGAAATTAGCCCACACAATTTAAAAAACAAAATTAACAACAATATTTATAATTGTCTTTGATCCCCCTTTCCATTTATCAGATTGCCAAAGTTAACGTAAAATGATAATACCCACTGCCGGGAAACGGAAACTCGACCCCACAGTGTTGTTGGAAGTGTATAGTGGTGTGACCCTGATTCATCGCAGAAGTCAAAATGCCAAAAGCCTTAAAAATATGCTCACTCTCTGCCCTGGAAATGGCACCTCAAGGAATTTATCCTGAGGATATAATCAGTTATGCTCACAATGATCTGCTTACAAAAATGTTCTTGCAGCACTACTTGAAAAAATGGAAACAATCTACATGTCCAAATGGGAGACTTGCTAATTGGAATACATCTATGTAATATAATGCTCTGCTGTTAATAAAAATGATAGCATGAAGTCATGTGTACTGATGTGGAAGCATATCTGTACATTTTGTGTGTGGCAAATACAGGCTATAAAACAGTATCACTGGGGCAGGTGCGTCTTTTCTACTACACCTGGGTTGAGCTGATAAAGAAGAAACTTTCCCAACTCTCCTATTAAATAGAACAGATAGGCAGAGGAAGTCTCTACCGTCCTCACCTTCTGTCCTTAGCTTTCCCCGGGAGAAGGAGTGGCTTAGTGATAAGAAAGACCAGGAACATGTCCCTGGGGGTGTGTACCCTGGGTGTTGGCGCTCGGACTCATGTGGCTATAAATGTTGCCCATTGCTCTTTCCATTCCTGCTTCCAGGAGGTGAGTTCACCTACTTGGGGGCCCAGGTAGCTTCTGTCCTTGCAGCCAGGGTGTGAGGCTGGGGCCACATCTCTGTGGCACTGTCTGGGTAAGTGCTCTGTAGCCCTGCCACCCACAAGCGGTGTTTGGTCTGCAGGTGGAGGTCGAGGGACGAGGCGGCCCAGGCTGCATTCTCCAGGCTGGCTCACCAGAAGAAAGCAGACACTGCATGCACATACCCATCATCCTCCTTCATCTCCCTTCTTTGGTTCAGGACCCAAGGGGAGAAGAGGATTAATGAGGACCCTCACACCCAAACAGATGGACAGTAGGTTCCCATGGAGTCCGTGAATGTACAGGGGGAAGGATTCACACCTGAATGCTACAGTGGTCATCCCCAGGGGGTGAGATTATCTGCATGCATGAGTTTTCTAATCAATTCTATTACTACATAATTATTATAATCATTCTATTTACACCATTAAAGTACAAATAAAATTCCCTTTTGTGCTTGTTTCCTGTTTGTTTAAGCACACATTTTGGACCTTCCCTGCTGGGATGGAAGCAGTGAGCAAGCTAGCATTTGTTGGATACCTAATATGCGGCAAGTACAGCACAAGGAGTTTAGAGTACATTTTTTCTTCAGTCTTCATGTCAGCTTTAGGGTTTAGGATTTCTATGCAAACTTTTCAGATGGTAAAATTGAAACTGCAGAAATTGAGCAACTTGCACAATGTCGCATAATGAGTAAATGGCAAGATTAAGCTCTTACTCTCAATATGGCCTGCTCCCAAATCCATGCCCTTCCCACTGGAACATAATTAAGGAATGGAAGACAGTTGAGTTAGGTAAAGGGCACAGGTACAAAGGCAATGGTGGAGCCAAACTGATATCACAGAATGCATATGCTAAGGAAAGCCTCATGAGCATGAGCACACACCCATTTTCCCTATAATTTTCAGAAACCCAATCCTTAGAAAACTAGAAGCAATGCAATGAAGAGCAGAGAGGGTGACTTCTGGAGAGACATACCCTGGGGACAGTGTTGAGAGGAGCACGTGCAGTCTTGACAGCCACGGGAGAGAGAAATGTGAATAAATACAAACACTGAATCTCGCGGGGCCGCGCGCTCTGAGGACTCTGGGAAAAGGGACACCAACCAGCGTCTGCGATCTAATCGGCCTGCACGCGCGGCTGAATCCGAGGAGAGCACAGTAATTGATTTTCACAATGACGATCCTGAGTCATCAAGAAAAGGTTACATTTTATGTTCAGAATTCTCTGTTTAAGGAGGCAAGGAAGCGTGTAATCCATTTGAGAAAGATTTTCATTTCAAATAGTTAAAAATTCTTTGGAAAGATTTTTGGTGCTTAAAAGGATAAGTGACAGTTATCTGGAAAATTCACTTATGTGGAACAAAGTCTTCTCTGAAGATTCTAGATCAGCCAGGCAGTGTGTTGTATTTAGTCAGGCTTCTGTCACTCCTCCTTTGTTGACATTCTAGCGTCTGTTTTTCTTCAGTCTTTCGAAATCCCCAACTTCCAAGTGCTGGACTGTATGCTCCTTGAGGCTAGAGATTGTGACTCCCTCTCTTAAATACTTCACACCCTTGTGGCCTTTTTTCTCTTCCATGAAACAAATGATGGACTGACATTCACAAAAATGACTGACTCCCTGGGCATACATAAACTTTGACAAATCCCTCCTGGCATTTTGTGGAAACTCTCCTGGGTCTTGGTAAGCAGACCTAGAATATGTTTTGTTTTGTTTTGTGCAAGCGTGTTAATAACTACATTAACTAATCACTTTTTAAAAAAATCAGGAAAAAGTAATTAAATAGGATTAGTCTAATTATTTCTAAAAGCAAACTTTATTTTTAAAAAGAGTCATTTCCACAAAGCCCTCCACTTTTCAGGTGCTATCCCTAACGTGCACGCACAGGCTTGCGGGCTGCCTCGCTGGCCCCCTTGCCTGATGCTGCTCCTTCACGTGTCCTCTGCCCCAGACACAGCTTGTCCCTCCTGGGTGGGACACGCGAAGGAGCAGCAGGTGGGACAGCTTGTCCCTCCTGGGTGACTGTGCTGAGATCCTGGTTCCTTCTCGTGCTCTAGTCTCTCTCCCGGAAATAGCTTTTCCCACTGCCACACTTTCTGTGCCAAGCTCAAATGCCCTTGTCAAGGGCCATTACTCTCCAAAAGTTTTCATTCTCATAACTGTTGTGGGATGGCTCTTGTCATTGTTTTTTTTTTTTTTTTTTTTTCTTGACAATAATAAAAAACCTTGAGAGGGGACAGAACTCTCTTCCTGGGTTACAGAGCCAGAACTGGAACCTAACCAGACCTCTCTTGGCCACATTTCTCTCCACTGCACAGCGAACAACTGTGACTGTAGCTGCCTTCTAGGCAAATATCCCTCTCGATACTCTGGGTTTGGGAGGCCCATGTGTCCCGCATGGCACGCACAGAGGGACAGGGGACCGGCGAGCCTTACCTGGCGTGTTGAGCAGGCGGGACCTCCTGCAGTGGTAGGCCACCTCCTGCTCACAGTGCTCCGAGCGGTCAATCATGGCCTCCAGCTGCTCCATGCTGCCACCGTAGTCCAAGGCCATGGCGTAGGGTTTCTCGGGGTTGGCGCCTCGCACACGGGTCAGCTCCGTATTGTTGTGCTGCACTGACGTCCAGATCTTGTCCTCTGCCCAAATGACACAACCCAAAGCAAGAAAGGTGAGAGGGGAGGTCAAATAAGGGGCATCCAAACAGTGTGATGGGCCGCTCAACACGGAACCATCACTCGCCGCCTGAGTGTTCAGCTGATGCAGACTACTAACTATCACAGACATTTTGTTCCTCATGGAGCTCCACCAGGGTTAGTACAAGGGTCAGTAATCTTAAAGGTAAATTTGTAGAGCCTTTATTCCATAGGCTTTATGCTAAGCATTTAATGCCTGTGATTTCAGTTAAAATTGATGATACCTAAATTGGAAGGGATTCAATAGTGCTAAGTCAAAATTGTTTTAAAAATGTGAATGAGGAGAATTAGGTAGCTCATCCAAGATCACACAGTTAACAAGTAGCGAAGCAAGCATCAGGACCAAGGGTGTCTGACTCCAAGCCTGTGCTTCCAGCTACTGACACACTGCTCATAAGAGAAACACTAGCACAGATAATTTTCTCAGAGAACCATTTTCTCAGAGAGCAAGGTTGAGATTATATAATCTTTACTGTACAAGTAATGCACTTGATTACAGATTTTTAAAAATTCTATTACCTCTATTAGCAAAAAAATAAAATGAGAAGAGTTAAAATAAAATAACACGCAGGGCGGAGGACCTTTGAATCAGGTCGAAGGACATGTTTTGCCTAATACAGGAAAGAAAGGAAAGCAAGGAGGAAAGAGAGATTGAGAGATGTATATATGATGCATATTTCTGGGAATAACAAGCTGGAACAAGTCATTTCCCTTTTCTGAAGCTCATTTCTAGTCAGTTAAAAAACAACAAGACTGACAACAAAAATGAGACAGCAATACTAGGGATGCCATGGCAGGGATGTTAATATAAAACGGCAACCCAAAATAGGAAGTTGCAAGGCACTATCTGGGATGTATCAGACACCCTGCAGTAATAACCCGGGCTAAAACATTTTCTGCAATTGGACATGCAATTTAATCCTGAACATCTTCCCAAATAAAGCAAAAGAGAAAATAGGAAGACTTGAAAAGCTTTTGTCATCTGGGAATCTTGCCCACATAATTGCACCATTACTCTTCATGGGTTCTCAGAGCTGAGAAGGAACTCAGCATAAAAATCACGTGCCTCTTCCCTCCTCTACCCCCTCAGTTTTACAAATGGAGAAACCAAGGTCCAAAAAGTGAAGAAATGACTCAAAGCGTATCTATTAGACAAATAAGCACAGGCACTGAAAGTCACTACTGTTAACGAGCATGACTAAGACAGAGGATCACAATAGCCGACATGACTGGGCTAGAAAGAGAAAGGACCCCCAAGTGCCTATGTGAACTCATTCTCTCCACTAACTCTGTACTTGACTTAGGACAAGTCACTTCATGTCCTGACACTTCAGTTTCAAAATATGAGAGGGAGGAGGAGGAAAAGAAAAAGAATTTGGTTTTAATGATCTCTGTAAAAATGGAAATATTTCTCTCACCATAAAGTTAAATTATGCTTACATTTTTCTGACTCATCTTAAGATTGTTTTCTAAAACCAGTGCATTGATAACCCACATGTCCCCATCATTTTAGCAAGGAAGGATTACATTTTCTAGAAAGTCTATAAAAAATCAGTCACTAGATTTTGACTTTGAAAATAAAAATAAGACATGATTGATATTGGAAAAATAACAAATTGCAAAAATAACCCCACATTTTAGAAATGTCATTGGTACCAATATAGAAAAATGCTGATAAAATAACCTAAGAAAAATTATTGATCAATAACAAATTACTGAAGAGGGAGAAATAAAGATGGACAGTTTTAAAATATCCATGATACTTACAAGAAGACAAAGAAAACCCTCTCTAATCTATAATAATACATGCTATGATACTGCTCCGTAGCAGGACATTTTACATATATTGTCTCCAGTACTCATAACAACCCACCACCACAGACATCACCACGTATGTAGACATGTATGTGTGCATGCAGAGCTGTCTACTAAGTGCATGTACATATTCACAAGTGCCAGCTGCAAATACTGTATGAGGAGAGGTGATTCCTTGAAACCCAGATACTATTAGCTGGCTTTTATTTCAGACCAGATCTGAAATATTATTATTTTTGATTATTTTTCTCTGATTATTTTTATCCTGGGAGATAGTGGGGTAAAGACTGAAAACAAGAAGGTAAATGGGTATCATGTTTTCTATTTATTTGTCTCTCTATCCATCTACTCATACCTCTAGTAAACTTGTCCCCAGTCTCAAAGTGTCCAATCTCACTCCAAAGTTGGTTCTGCACAACATTACTAAATAATACGGACTTCTCCCTCTAAGTGTACACAGATTTTCACATCTGTTTATCCATTCATCTACTTGTTCATATATTCATTTATTGATTTGCGTATTCATTTACTCGTTGAGTCACTTTACCGAAATCATATTCTGTCTTTGGCCAGATGGGGAAAGGAAGTCATATCGGGGGTATATGTGTCATCTTAGAGTCACTGATATCTTTACTGTTATTGTTCTTCATCTTCTATCTTTTCTTCCTCTGCTATGTTGGGAGCTGTGAGGATCTAGCCGGTCATCCTGACTAAACATGGAACGGCCAGGGGCTAATGCCACTGCGGGGAAGTTGGCTTTGGGGGCTGCTGTCCTGACGTCTGGGCTGGGGAGGGACGGTTTGAACTGGAGGAAGTGTACGAGAAAGTCCTCTCTGAAGCATTTTCAAACAAGCAAAATTCATTTGACAGACTTTTAGGTGAGTGGGGAAGTGGAGATTCATACCCAAGTGGACCCACACATGGCTTCGATTAAAATTGGATCCACAAAGTAAATGTTCTAAATGGTCGATTTGGTCAACGAGCAGTGGAGACTCGTGGACACATCTTGGGCTGTGGAGTCCGAATATCTGGGTTTGTATGCCAGATCAACTCCTGCTGGTCAAGCAACCTCAGTCAAATTATTACTTCTCAAAAGCCCAATTTCTTCATCAGTGATAAGTAAAAAGCAGCAGTAATAACAACAGTACCATGAAACAGCCTGGCTTTAGAAACAGGCCTGTCCAGATTGGAATCTGTGTTTTGCTGCATGTTAGCAGTGAGAGTTTTGGCCGGTTATACAAGGTCCCTGAAGTTTCCTCATTGAAAAACAGGGATATTATGATTAATCATTTCATCCGTAATCATATTATAATGATTTGGTGTCCTGTTTTACAGGGACACATAACAGATTATAGGGCATTCAAAAGAGTGAAGAATCTATGTTAGAACTTTCTATAACACCGGCACAAGAAGCTGGACTTCACTCAGACAGTTGGGGTGGGGAGTTCATCACATAAATGAGGTTAATAAGCATGATGGACTGCAATTTCTTATGATATCGCTGCTGCTGTATATAATGAATTATTACTGCCTTGCTCAGTTCTCTTTTTACTGAGGAATAGCCTCATGTGACTATATATTTGTGTCCTTTGCATTTCTTGAAATTTCTTCAATATATCTTGGGCTTTTAGTACTCATGGATCCAGAAACCTAGAAGAACACTGCCCTTCAATACCATCCTTTGCTACCCAGGTCATTCTATTTCCTTACCTCTACTGTATACATCCTTCAATCCCACCATTAGAAGCATGGCCTTATTCCCCCAACTGCTGAAAAGCACACATGTATTGAGTTGCCCAAGATCAAAGAAAGGAGTGCACTTGGAGATTTTTGAACAGGCAGAGACCTGTTCATCATTAGCTTAGGAGGGAAATAGGCCACTTTACTATGCATCCTAGTTAGCTTAAAGTAAGTTATTATATATCTAAAATACTTGCTTTTTTAAAGTTACATTCAGCACAGCGAGTTGGCATGAGTATGAATGACCTCAGGACCCAGGTCCATACTAGCAGCTGTGCTACATTTATGTGCAAAGGGGTTACAGGCCATGGGTCATCAAATAGCACACAGCATGAAGTTCCAAAGCATTCTTTCAAAGACATAACCACATATTGTTTTGTAAACTAGTAAAGCATTTCCCAAATTCCATTGTGAGTTTTAGCTTTCTATCTCCCTATAAAGCTATGAGATCTTCCAGGATGCGAAATGTGTCACTGATTCTCGTGTTCAAATATATGCCCAGTTAGTTTGGTGCTAGCTACTAGAGAACATACGCAGGAGGAAAATGCCCTAACTCCTCCAAATCTTACCATGATTTGGGGGAGAAAGTTGTGTACACAGAATGAGAAATGTCTCAGGCTGTTGCAAGTACTCTAGAGATTACCAGAGGGTGTGTGCAGAAGTCTGTTGGGGCAGGTTTGGTAGGGGTGGGGGGAGAGGGCAGCATTATAGAGGCCGGCCCAGTGGAGACTGTGAACTGTTTTTTTTTTTTTTCTTTTTGAGAGTTTTCAAGGTCAACTGGGGTCTTTCACACTCAAACTACCAGAGCCTAGGCTAGCACTGAGCTCCTTAGAACTTCTGGGTACCTTTGTCAAGTGAAAAGATAATTAATCGCCACCATTTGTATTCTGCCAGGCTCTTAGTTTCAGCATCTCAAAGTTGCTCTTCTATGCATATATTATGTAATGGTCCAAATTTAAAAGAAGTTTCAAGTTATAAGATCAAAACATGTATATGCACATGCACACACATGCACACACATGCACACAAGCAAGAGAAAAAAAAATAAGGTAGTACAAAAAGACAGCACACTAGTAATGATGTAATATTCTAGGACATTTTGTATTATTATCCCTGTGGTGAAATCATCACTGCTTATCATCCCAGAAAAGCTCTTGAGCAACCCTTACTCCTGGGTCTCTCTGTGACCTACCTGGTTCTTCTGGCTCTCATCTCAGAAGCTGTAAACTGTTTATATACAGAGCCACAATTTAATTTTCTTTCATATTTTTTTCTCTCATTATATCTGATTGGTCTTATTATTGTGATCATTATTATTAATAATAGTAATTACAGATGCTGTAAGCTGTTCCATCTGTTACCATGGGGATCACCACTCAGAAGAACGA